GGGGAGATGGCAGACTGGGGGAGATGGGGCAAATTGGGGGAGATGGCAGATTGGGGAGATGAAGCTATGATGGGGCAGATCCTGGGAGATGGAGGGACATGGAGTCAGATTGGGGGAGAGATGGGGACAGATGGGGGAAATGGGGCAATAGGGGCAGATTGGGGGAGATGGGGAAGTAGGGGGACGATGGGGGCCGTGGGGGTGGTCAGAGGCAAGCCCGTGCCATGGGCAGGGGCGCTGCGTGGGGGGGGGGGTTGGAAGAGGGGTGCTCCCTGCGCGTTCAGGAGCTGCCAAGAGCCACACGACTCGTGCAGCTGGAGCGGAAGCCCTGGCGGCCAGAGCAGCCTAGTGGGAAGGGCCGGGGGCGGCAGCGGGGTCCCCCTGCCCGCTCCCTCGCCGAAGCCCCGTCCTCCCCGCGCCGAGGTCCCGCCCCCGCAGCGCGCGGTGGCGTCACCGTCCAGCCGGCTGGATCTGGTTCCAGCCGCGCCGGGCCGGCTGGGCATGCGCGGTGCGCTGGCGCTGCGGGGGTTGCTGGAGGCACGGTCCGGGCGGTGAGCCCTGCGGCCGCGTCCCTGCCCCGGCGCCGTCCGTGCCCGCGGGACCTGACAGCCGGGGCAGAGGTCAGTGCGCGGGGCCGTGGCCCGGACCCGGCCTACTGGGATGGGAGGGGACGGGAGATGGGAGGAGAGGAGTCCGCCCCAGCCCCGCCCCGCGGCGGCAGGTGGGCGCTCCCGCGGGAGGCAGGGGCGTCCGAGCATTGTTGCAGGCCCCGCTCCGCCCTGCAGCGCACGGGCAGGCCCTGGACAACCCCGCTCCTCCTCCCACTCTCCTGGGGACGCGAGACCCGGCCGCGGGGGGCAGGGCGGGGGGTCCAGGCCCTGTGGGCGCTATGGGAGCGCCAGGGTCCCCAGCCGCGAGGCAGCCACCGGGGAGACTCGAGATGTGTGGACCCCAGGACGTCTGGAGCCGCCAGGTGACCCTGAGCGCCCCTCCCCGGGGAGGGCCCGTGCCGCCCGCAGTGCCGCCTCGCTCCTCCTTTTGCCTTTGCTTGGGGAGAGAAAGCCCGGGACTTCCTTGCCTGGGGTGAGGCGGCCCCCACTGGCGCGGCGGACGCTAGTGAGAAGCGGTGTCAACTAAAGAAAAGACTCGCAGTGAAAACAACTGGGTTACCTTTCCTCGGAAGTCTTCCTGAGGACGGCACAGCAGGCCGGCCGCTCCTTCCAGACTCAGCGCCGGCCTGCGCAATCTCGCCCGGGTTTGGGTGGAGAGCGCAGACGGCTTTGATGCCAGTTTTTCGTCTTCTGTGGAAGCTGTGACCCGGGCAGGAGACGGCCCGTGCTGGTCCTGCGCTGCGTCCTGGAGCATCCTCAGAGCGGCTGTGCACACAGCCAGGGGCCGGGACCAGGCGTCCTCCTAGCCTTTTGCTTGGCCTCACAGCTGCAGAGACGGCAAGAATGGTGACCGTTGCTTCAGAGTCCTTTGGTTCTGAATAACTCATCTCATTGACAGTGTGGTTTTTAGGAATTGGTTGTGTTCACTGAGGAGTTGTGGCAAAGTGAGGAAAACCTAACCCATCCTTAGTTCCCAAATGTGAGTGTTTTAAACTATGTAACAGCTAACGAAACTGACAAATTGATACAGCTTATGGACATTGAATTTTGATTCTGCCATGCCCTCATTTTAGAGCCGGTAACATATCTTGATTTTTCTCCCCGTAGCTCAAATATCTTCCAGGCTCCTGCACGGCCTGAGCTGTAACTCCGCACCCAGGAGACCCTGGGGTGAGAAGGAAGGGGAGGGCCTCAGATGAGAATGTAGTTTTGGTGTTTTCAGTTTATACAAAAAGCCCTGGCATTTTCCCGACAACACAGAGCAAACACACCGGCAGAATGAAGCCCAGAGGCTGCCTGGTGAAGTGGGCGGCACGCTTGAAAATCTGCGTGTGTGGAGTGGCTTGGTTCCATCTTCCGGGAGCGTGCAAGGCCCTTTCAGGCGCTGCGGGAGCCTCGCCTTCTGCCCAGGCTTCGGAGCCAGGTGCTGGAGCCTCAGCAACAGAGGGGCATGGATGTCTTTGCACTTTTCCCGTATGTTTTTCAGACGTTACTGATCTGATTTTCAGTACAGTGGCGGGATCAGCATTGAAGAACTGGGAGCGGCTGTGAGCCGACTTCCTGCAAGTGGTTGAGAAGTGGGCTTTGTGTATTAACCGCCCCTGTGCTTATCGGCGGCTCAGCCCTGGCGGTGCTGCTCCTGGCCTGCCGGAGCTACCTTCCCTTAGAAACAATGCTGCCTCCAACTGCTAGTTAGCTGTGGCTTCCACAGGAGAAGCCAAGGCAGGCTCGTGTTTTCACAGCTAGGAAGGACATGGGCCTGGCAGGGAGCTGCAGCACAGCCTCTGGCAACACAGAAGCACAGCTGTGTGTGACCCTTGCCTGCCACTCATGTGCCCAGCAACCAGAGCGGTGGCCTCACATGAGCTCTTCAGCGATGCAGGTTGCAACTAGGCTCCACGCCTCAATTGGCCCAATAGTAACGAAAGAAATGAGGAGTGTCGTGAATCCTTAGGAGTCCACATACTTAAGCTCAAATTAGAGCCGCCCAGCCCTACATGTTATGACAAAGCGGCTGTTTTGTGGGGGCCTGTATCACTCCCCTGGATGTGGGAGCACCAGCATCTGGGAGGTGACGGGAGGTCAGGGCCTCTGGGATCTGGAGACCCAGGGAGACCAGCTTTGGGGTCAGGAGGCCTGCTTCTGCCCAGCAGTTCACGATTCCCTCCAAGGCAGCTGAGGCTTGGAGCTGCGGCAGGGCCTACCGGGCCAGAGGCAGAAGGGAGCCCTCAGTCCCAGGCAGCGTCCTGGTGGGTGTATGTCCTGTGCCAGACGATGGTCATAGAGGCTGAGAAAGGAAAGGACCCCAGTCTGCCTCTGGTGGCCTGAGGAATGGAGGAGACAGTGAAAGGCCCAAGACAAGTGATGCAGGAGTTTCCAGAGTGCAGGGTAATACGGCACGAGAAACACCGGCCCCCAACTCCCATCAGGGAGCCATGCAGCCTCTGCAGGTGCTGAGAGGTTACAGGGCTCTGGTACCAGCCCCATTCCTCCTGAACAGGCGAAGTTGATCCACATCCCCCCCCCCGCCCCCACCCAGCTCTTGTGCTCTATGACTTCAGAATACACAAAGCTGTGTCCACAGGTCTTAGCATCTGTGAGCCCCTCGTCTGCACTGGAGGGTCCCCAGCTGGCACCAGTGCCAGGACAGAGTCCCTCTCCTGACCTGACTTCTGTACCTCCTCACCCACCTCTAGCACTGTCTTGCTAAGGCTTTCTCAGCACAGCACCCATCTCAAGTCCCCAGCACCCACACCCCAGTGAGTCCCCAGCACCCACATCCCAGTGAGTCCCCAGCACCCACACCCCAGTGAGTCCCCAGCACCCACATCCCAGTGAGTCCCCTGCACCCACACCCCAGTGAGTCCCCAGCACCCACACCCCAGTGAGTCC